AGAGGCTGTGGCTACTCCCTGGGTGTGAGCAGGCCTGTCAGTGCGGCCGTGTCAGCCAGGCAGTGTACCTCTCTGGCGAGGCTCCGACCTAACTCCATGGAGCCTGCCCACCCTCCTTCCAAGCCTGGGCTCCTGCAGGGACTGGCTCATGGGCTTCTTTATTAGCCTTGTTTTCCTCTCTTTGGGCTTGTTTACCAGGAGTGCATGTCTTTGGAACCCTATGTCTCTGAGCCAAATAGTGGGAGCAAGACACTCAGCTTGCGTCAGCAGCCCAACTAGAGGCCAGCTGGGGGCCTGGCCTTCTTTACTGTGTCCCCTGGACCAGGGAAAGCAATACCTTCTTTGTTTCACCCTAAACACCCCTTTCTCCCTGGCCTAAAGACAGAAAGTTGAGATTCTTGCACTGGGAGAGAGGGATGGAGATTCTAGGATCCTTGAATTTTTAGATATTCTTGGAAACAATTACTAAGAGGCAGAGCCAGGATTCAAACTTGTACATTTTGGCTCCAGAGCCCATAATCTAATTGTTATGCTATACTGCCTGTGTAAAAGCATATAACTACTCTTTGTGATGTGGTAGCCAGTAACCACATGGAAATAATAATTTAAATCCAGTTCCTCATATACACTAGCAACATTTCCAGCACTCTGTAACCTCATGTGGCTAGTTGCAACCATATCGGGCAGTACAGATGGACCATCTCCATCATCTCAGAAAGTTCTATTGAATTGCATTGCTCCAGATAAATACTCCTTCTACTCAAATTAGATTTGAAGATGGCAACTCAGATTATGCTTTGCATTCTAAGAATCTGATTTTGGGACCCACAGCCTGAAATTCTATGATTCTGTGATTTCCTCCCTGTTCTGACATTCTGTGATTTTCAGTGTCTAGGGAGAGCCCTAAGAAAGCCCTTCAAGTTTTACAGGAGGTAGACTGGGAGGCCATGGGGTGGGGGCAGCTGTACTTTTCCATGCCCAGAGTCTTTCTTAAGAGAGTGAAATGACCTCAGCTCTGGGTTCTGCTGGCAGCCAAGGACGGGTTTTCAGCAGTCTCCAGAGAAAATAAAGGCAAAAGAAGGGACTGGGTGTACGGAACAGGAGATGGCGGTGGCAGAGTGGGGCAAGGGTGTCTGCATCTGATGGCTGCTGAGCCAAGGGAAATACACCTCCTGCCCCCTACCCCCTGGCCTGGGTTACTTTTCCTCCCAACATCTCAGCAAATTCATGGGCCAACTGGATGCCATTCAGGTGACCACCTAGGAGATAGTGACCACCAAAGGAAACAGTATGCTGCAGTAGAGAACTCGCCAACAGTGAAAAGGGCCTGGGTTATCACTCTGGTCCTGCCACTCACTCATTGGGGCTGGGACCATATTTCTTCCCTCTCTGAGCATCACTCTTCCCACCTGTACCATAGGACAGAAAGACATGCTCTGAGCCCCAAAAGGAATGCTTGGTTATGAAAACACTTTGTAAATAATAAATATGTGCATCTCAAAAAGAGTTAACTAAAAAGATACAAAGGGAGAGGTTTCACTTAACATAGTTTTGCCAGTTGCATAGGAAGGATCTGCTTGTTTATACAAAATGTGTTTATATTTCACTGGGCACACTAGCCCTGGCAGAGTATGTGTATGCAGCTGATAAGTTCTGAGGGTTGGGGTTTGGCCCGGCTGGGGTTACGCCTGCATACTATTCTCTTTGTAGGATGGCCCCTTGGCCCCTTTGGCCAGTGATATTTAGAGAACCTCAGAAAAGGGTCTCATGGGTGTGCAGAGATTCTTGCTGTACGTCTAGGAATAGTCCGGCTTTTCCCCTTCCTTCCCAACTCAACATCAGGAGAGAAGTATCCTGGGATTGGAAATACAGTACCAACCACTCAGCAGCACTCAATATTTGGAGAATACTCCTCATGATTTTGTGTTCTTAACACTCTCTGCCTATACATTTCTCCCCACCTTTCACCCCCAGACTCTGAGTATGATCCCTCTTAGGCTTATCCTAACTCCATGAGAAGGGAAGCTTGTCAACATGGAATGAGAATGTTGGATAAGTTTTGATATGTGTTTCCTCCCTCTAAACCAGATTCCTTATTGGAAAGTGGGATTAAGAACCCTTCCATATCTGTCTGCCTGCCTCCCAGTGTTGTTCTGACTGCCATTGAGTCGGATCTGACTCATAGAGACCCCTCAGAAGTAAATTGCCCAATATTTCTTCTGAGGAGTGGCTGGTGGGTTTGAACTGCCAGTCTTCTGGTTAACAGTCAAAATGCCTTAGGCACCACACCACCAGAACACCCCCTAGTGTTGTAAGAAGGTCCAAACCAAACCAGTTGCCATTGAGTTGATTCCAACTCAAGGCAACCCCATGTGTTGCACAGTAGAGCTACACTCCATAAGGCTTTCAGTGACTGTGATCTTTTGGAAATAGTGCCTTTCTTCTGAGGCACTTCCGGTTGCATTTGAACCATTAACTTTTTGATTAGTAGCCAAGTGCTTAATTGTTTGTGCTACCCAGGGACTCCAGAAGGCTCCAAAAGGAGAATTGTTATTTGTTATTTGCCGTCGAGCCCCCCCCGACTCATAGCGACCCCTCCTTGGGTTTCTGAAGCAGTATCACTACGGAAGTAGGATTGCCCAACCTTCCTTCTGAGGAGTGGCTGGTGGGTTTGAACCTCCAGCCTTCTGGTTAGCAGTCAAGTGCCTTAGGCACTATGCTACCAGAGCTCCTAAAAGGAGAATATATACGTGAAAGTGCTTAAGTAACGTTGCAAGATGTAAAGATTTCTTTTTCCCTCTGGCTATCCCACCAGGGATGCGGGTGGCAAAGAGGTTGAGTATGCCACTGGAGAAGGAGTGCAGGAAGATGGCGAGGAGGACAGATTGAAGAGCTCACAAAACTTTAACCTGATCAAAAAGGGATGTGTGGTTCCATTATCCAGGAAAGGAACACAGATTCAGGAAACATTGATCCTCCTGGCTCTCTGACCCAAAATTTATTGAATTTCCAGTTCTAGCTGGTTATTTCTCCAGTGACATGGCTTCTCTGAAAGCCCAGACAGGATGACTTATTTTTGTTCCTGCTGCCAGTCTCATGTTAGCTCTTCAACTTCAAACAGTCTCAGACAAGTCCTTCATTGATACTTTCTTTCCCTATCCATTCGTCCAAAGCCACATGTGGGGGTTGTTTAGCTTGAGTCTTCCAAATGAGAAGGCAAGGAGGGAAATTTTTCCACCTCTAAAAGTGAGGAACAAGCATATAACTGTGTGATAGGGAGCCACATTTCAGAAACTGCCTGGAAAAGGATGATTGGACTCTTCTGGGGGTTGGGGCCACTATTAAGCAAAGCCAAGTTTTCAGGTCACTTTCTTTAAATTCTTGTTTTATTTTATGCAGACTACATAAAATAGGAAGTGTGGTTTTGAGTCTATTTTAGCCCCCCAAAAAGAACAGTTATGTAGTCTGCTCTTAACTCTGCTCATTCTGACACCCAAATACCGCAATCCAAGTGCTGATGGTGATACCAGAGGTGATATCAAGGCCAGCATGTGCGTGCCTGTGCCATATTAAGGGTCCAGTCTACCACCCAAGAGATCTTAAGGTTCACCTCCTCTAACCCTCTCAATTAATAGATAGGGTAAACAAGGTTTAAAGAGGGCAAAGGACTTACCCACAATCCCACAGCAAAATGATATTGAGGTAGAACAAGGCCCCCTCATATTTAATTCCAAGCCAAATATTTTTTTCCACAATAATAGGGTATCGCCCACCAAGGTGCTCTGTCACTTGAGAAGTGTTGGAAGAAATTAGGGGTGATGAGCCTCATGGAAGTTTTGTGGGACAAAAGTAGGGGAAGAGATGTTACTGCTCCCCATGGCTGATAGACTGTCTTGGGAAAGAAGGAGCAGACTTGTTCTGTGTGGCTAGGAGAAATCTGGGTAGACCAGTGGATCGAGGGAGGCAGATTTAGGTCAGTATAAGAAAGAACTTTCTAAAACTATGTCTTTGGAAATAAAGTCCATTTAGTTAGAATAAGAAATAAATGTTCCCACTATAAATCCATTGTTAGGGATGACATTTTGATATTGAACCATCAGAAAATATTCTGCTCTAAGATCCCTTACAATTATGAGATTTTTAATGCAGCATCCAGAGGATGGGTCTAAACAGTGACAGGCAGGGGACTTTTTAAAATCTCAGTTAATACTCTTTAGGGAATGAGAAGATAACACGCAACCCATTCAAACATTTGCATAGAGTTTCCCTAGAGAGTCAGAAATGCTGTCCCTTCTGGGCAGAATGGGGACAAATATGGTCACCCTCAAGTTTCCACTGGCCTCACTCCAAGGGTATTGTTCTTCATTTTAGAAAGTAGATCTCATTGTCTCAAATTGGCAAGAGGTTTCTATTAACTTCTCCCATTGCAGAGAGGGTGGGAAGAAAGAGAAGGAAGAGGAGCTTGGGGTATAGGAAAAAAAGAATCATAGAGCATCAGGGATTGAAGGTTCCTGAAGATGGTCTGGTTTCACATCGCTCAAACTTCACTAAGTAGCTAATCAATCACCTTCATTGAACACTTTTTAAAAAGCTGAGTAAATATATAGAAAAAAAGGGACTTTATATTATTATCATAAATGGAAAAATCTTTGTACACAAGTGGCAAATAGAAACTGTAAAAATAAACACAAAGAAAACAGTTTTATTGAATTCCAGTTGGATATAGTTTCTTGTGGAGGTGTGGATTCAGAGAAAAGCCTGTACTCTTTGTTAAAAAGGGAGATAAATGAGCCTCCGAGAGGTGCTAAAGACATCTTAGCACTGCACTGAGACTTTGTTCTCGTGTAATCAGCATTGATAGAGAATTGAATGGAAGCAACTTCCTGCCATTGTCATTTAATGCTGTCCATGTACCATCTAAAATTACCTTGCATATCACAAAAATTCAGCATCCAGAAGCTCCCACTCACTGAAATCTCTATTTCTTTCATCCCCCACAGGGTTCCCAGCACCATGAGGGCCTGGATCTTCTTCCTCCTTTGCCTGGCTGGAAGGGCCTTAGCAGTACCTGTAAGTACCTAAAAATCCTATCTTTGGGGTTTTATCTCTTACCATCAGCCCCAGGACTTCTCATGTTGCCAGCCTTAGATGCTGAGAGGGGACAAGGACTTCCAGATCTTGAGTTGGTTGTCTTGTTTTATTTATTTATTTTCCTAAACTCAGGAGCGCAGGAGAAATTGGGATGAAGCACACTGGGTGGAGATTCCAGAGAAGAGAGGTTTCTGTGTAATGTGAAGACAAAATTTTTAGGAGTCAGAACTCCCCAGCTCTGACTGAGAAAGAAGTGAGCTCTTTGTCATCTGAGATACTCAAGCAGAGGTAGAGGACAGCCAGTGGGGATGATGTTAGAAGGGAGTCACACAGAGAGAGTGATGGGTTAGTTTCCAAATCGATTGAGGGTTTTTTGATTGTAAGCAACAAACTCAATCTTGAATAAATGGGTGGGTGGGTGGGGGGCAAAGATATAAGGATATTGTAGTATCCAAGGCCTGGGGCGGGGGTCTGGGAGGCATCTGAATGGATCAGCTCCAATAGTCTCCTCAACTTGAGAGAATGTGCCCAGAAGATTAAAATATCCAGGAAAAGCCAGTCTTGGCTGAGCTTGGGTCCTGAGCCTTCCTCTTGGCTAAGGCAGGGACAGGTACCTTGATTGGCAGACAGTCCCTCTAAGAATGCCATGCAGTAGCCCAGGAGTGGTTATCCAAAGCTGAACCTAGAAGATATCATGTTTTAGAAGAGGGAAGAAGAAATGTGGGACAGGTGTAAAGAGCAGTTTCTTTCAATCTCTTCACTAAAGGAGTGTGAGTGATGATTGTTGTTGTTGTTGTTGTTATGTGCCATCAAGTCAAACCCAACTCATAGCGACCCCTTCTTGGGTTTCCAAGGCAAAATTACTTCAGAAGTAGATTGCCTCATCTTCCTTCTGAGGAATGGCTGGTGGGTTTGAACCACCAGCCTTCTGGTTAGCAGTCAAGTACCTTAGGCACTATGCTACCAGAGCTGTGAGTGATGATTAGATCAGTAGATTTTGGCAAAAAATTTGGCAAGGTTGGCATTAATTTTAGAAGCAGTCCTAGCTGCTCAGGGCCTCAAAGTAAGCTGTATGCTATTTTATCTTATCTTTTTCTACCCCTTTTTTAGTGAGGAAGAATTGCCTCCCCCAAAAAAAAGAAGTTAAAAATAATAATAATAATATGATCAGACTTGTGGGGAAGATAATGACATCTGTTAAAATTCACAGTGTCATTCCCACTCTAGGTTTCAGTTTTCCCCATTTGCAAAATGAGGGGAGTTGTCCTGGGTCAGTGTTTTTCAGACTTTACAAGAATTTGAAGCAGTGGAAATGCTGCATCAAGCTAAATCTTAGCTAGAAGCTCCCGATATATGATACATAACAGGGAACTGCTCCAATGTCTGCAGGGCCTCTGTTTGGCTTCTCCTTTGTCCTCTCTTTCACCCATGGCTGCCCCTGAAACCTAGCTTTGGCAATCTCCCTATCAGCTTCTCCCCAAGCTCCCTAGCACTGTGTTCCAGGCCACAAGGACTTCAGAGACAAAGCTGGACTTGGCCCTGACTTCTCTGAACCTCATTTTCTCTTTCCAGCAGCAGCAGGAAGCCCTGCCTGATGAGACGGAGGTGGTAGAGGAAACTGTGGCTGAGGGGGCTGAGGTATGTGGTTGGAGATCCCAGATCTCTAGTCCCTGCTTGTCTACACCACTACCTGGGGAACCCAGACAAGTGATGTGGGTCTCACTGCTGAAATGTGGCAGTTGTCTCCTTCCCATGAGCACATAAGCACACATGTAAATTTTGTGCATCCCTCAAATCCTGACACTGACCTGCAAGCCAAAAAAACAAACCCACTGCTGTTAAATTGATTCCAACTCATCAGGACCCCCTTTGGGTTTCTGAGGAAGTAAATCTTTATGGGAGTAGATTGGCCAGTCTTGCTTCCGCTGAGTAGTAGCTGGTGGGTTTGAACCACCAACCTGGTTAGCAGTCAGATGCCTTAGGCACTGTGCTACCAGAGCTCCTTACACTGCCTTGAGTGCTTCCCAAATTTCAATGCAACTCCATAGTATGAAGCTGTGATTTTGAATTTTTTTTTAGTTGTGGCATAATTTTTCTTAAAAGGTCACCTGCAGTCTCCCATGCATGAAACAGATGAAAGAGGAGCTGCTTGGATGTGGCTGGTAGGGGTGTAGGTCTGGGCACCCCCTTTTGCCCTAAGGGACTGTTAGGCATCTTAGCAGAATATTCAAAAACAGTGGGTTTATAAGATAAAATCTAGATTCCAGACCCTGCTGTTTGTGTTCTTTGACCTGGCCCAGCCCACCTTTCCCTATCCCTTTGCAGGTACCCAGATATCCAGGTAAAATATTTCTTCTCTCTCCCCATGCAGTCAGTCTCCATCCCTTTCCTCCAAGTCCCGGATGGAAGTGGGATTCATTCCACTCTTTCTTCTCTCCCACTTCAGGTACCTGTGGGAGCCAACCCCGTCCAGGTGGAAGTAGGAGAATTTGATGAAGGTGCTGAGGAAGCTGAAGAGGAGGTGGTGGCTGAAAGTAGGTCCATCTCCCATGACGTGGTACATCTAGGCTTGGCCCTCTGCTGCCTAGGTCTAGGACGGTCTAGGATGTGGGGACAGGCTTAGAGATAGTCCTATGTGGATTCCTTCCAGAGGAAATACAGGGTGGGAACTTCAGTGGGCTGTGGAGGGGAAGTGGCTTTGACAGAGGTTGGGAATATTCTCTTGACACACAGTCTCCTGGAATCTGGGAAAGCTCTAGACCATGTATACTGTAAGGGACAAAAAGGGGAATTCTCTAGCAGGAAATGACCTTCTCCCTCACAGCTCTTTTCTCTGATTCTAAAATTAGGTTTCATGGTCCCACTGAGGTCCTCAGTCACATCTGGTTAGTGAAGTTTCCAATGGCCTCTGCCCCAGACCAGTCCCCACATGGGAGCAGACCTTAGAATACCAAGTGCTTTCACATTGATTAATGTATTTGATTTTCAACCAGCCCTGAGCAATTGAGGCCCAGAAACCTGACTCCAACTCATGTAATGTAACCCAGGGAGTTAGTACCAGAGGGAGAGAAATGACCCAAAAACTCTGACTCCAGCCCACTATGCTGCTGCCTCCAATCTGCAGAGTAGAAAGACATTGTACTGAGGGGTTAAGAGCATGGATTTTGGAGGCAAATCAACCAAAGTTTGAATCTAGACTTGTTCACTCCTTATGTGAGTGGCCTTGGACAGCTTGTGTGGCCTCTCTGAGCCTCTGCTTTCTTACTTCTTAACATGAAACAGAGTTCCTAGGTGGTGCAGTTAATGGCCTTTGCTGCTAACTGAATGTTTAGGGCTTTGAGTCTACACAGAAATACCTCAGAAGAAAAGCTTGGTGATCTGCTTCTAAAAAATCGGCCATTGAAAACCCCATGGAGCACAGTTCTACTCTGACACCCTTGGGGTTGCCATGATTTGGAGCTGACTCAACAACAACTGGTTTTAAACATGAGAATACTAGTGAAGATGGTAGACCCTCACCCTAGGGTTGTTGGGAGAGTTGTGAGAGAAAGCATACAGGTATGTGGGTGCAGCTTGGCCCAGTGCCTGGCTGAGGAAGTATCCAATAAAAGATGAATAAAATGTCGAAAATAAAGCAACAGGAGGAAAAGGCTAGATTAAGCTCTCATCCTGAAGGGAATCACGGGTGTTTGGATCAAGCTAAGCATAGAGTCATGTTCCTTCCCTCCTCCACGCCCACTTTATCCGGTGTTTACCAGACACAGCTGGACTCTATTGTTCAGTGTGGGCCTCAAGGCCCTTCTCCTTTTTCCTTTATAGCCTCTTAAGTCTGTTTTGTTGCATCTCACAACCCTCTTGCTCCATGACAACAGCTGATGTTCCAAGTCATTCTAGAGAAATGCCTCCCTATGATTAATCATTCCCTTGGTGGTGCAAATGGCTAACATGCTCAGCTGTTACCTGAAAGTTTGGTGGTTTGAATACACTGAAAGATACCTTGGAAGAAGGCCCAGTTCTACTCAGATACAGAGGGGGTCACCATGATTTGGAGTCTACTCAAAAGCAACTGATGTGTTTTGATTGATCAACTGAGAGCTGGGAGCACAAAGGTTGCTTCAATCCTGGTGGCAGCCATAGGACATCCAGTGTTTCTGGGTCCCACACTGAGCCTCTGTCCTCAAAAATAGTATCTGACCCTGACCTCAGGCTGGACCTCTAACCCCTAGACTGAGCTCACTGCTTCCCAAATTCAGATTGCTAGGCTCAGTGGAAGAGCAGGGAAGACTCAGCTGCCTAGAGCCCAGATTAGGGACAACAACCCAGCACTGTCTGCCCAAGGATTGGTCTTGACTGGGTTGGGTAGTAGTTCAAGTGGTGCTAACTGTGGGCTCTTGCACCTACCAGACCCCTGCCAGAACCACCACTGCAAACACGGCAAGGTGTGTGAGCTGGATGAGAGCAACACCCCCATGTGTGTGTGCCAGGACCCCACCAGCTGCCCTGCCCCCCTTGGCGAGTTTGAGAAGGTAAGCGATGAGGGGCAGGGGCCTGGGAGATGGGCCCTTCAGAGCATAGAGTACTTGCCCAAAGAACTGTTGACTTGGTGGTTCTATGAAGCAAACCTATCTCAGAAGTCCCATCTTTAGATCTAATCACAGCAAGAAAGCAGTGGCAAGTCAGAGGTGAGACTGTTTATCTCTGGATCAAGCCAGCAATCAGAAGGAATTTATTCAGCACCATCAGGTTCTAAGCCTGGTGCCTGACATCAGCCCCATGAACACTGAGGTAGGAGCTTGCTGTATATGGGAGCAGCTTAGCAAAGCATCAAGTCTGAAAATGTGGGTCTTGGAGCTAGGCTGAATATGGATGTCAAATCCCATCTCCACCACTTGTTGCTGTGAGATCTTAGTGAAGTTTCTGAACCTGTCTGAGTCTTAATATTCTCATCTCTAAAGAGAGGGTAAAAATAATCCTTATCTCATAGGGCTGTTGTGAGGATCTGTCAGATAATACTGGGTGCGTAGTAAATACCAATAAAGCGCAACTTATTTCTACTGTCTTTCAAACCTGTCCATTCTACCTCCAGTAGGATCCATCCATCCATTCATGCCTCCAAGTCAATATTTATTGAGCACTCTCTTAAACCAACCATTGTGCTCATGGCAGTCTAGCTCAGGGCAGCAAATCTAGTATCAATATTATTCCCACAACTTCTCATCTGTCTTCTCTGCCTTCAGTCTGTATCCAATACATTTTCCCCAACACAGTTCCCTGGGCTCCAAATTTTAGCATCATCCTCAATTCTTCCCTCTTTGCCCTTGCTCTCATCCCACTGGTCACCAGTTCCTATAAATTCACCATCTGCAGTCTATAAGCAATACTAAGTACTTGCAGCATAGTCAACACAAGGCTTCCCTCCCCCTAACACAGCTTCTTACTGCCACTGCTCTTGACATCTCTGGTTGACCACCCCCATATTCAGAGATTCACTAGAAGGACCCACGTGACTCAGCATACAGTTGTACTCACAGCTAATATTTATTACAATGAATACATATTAAGAATATACAGCTAATTCATAAGGGAACAAAGAGACAAGCTCTAGAGGATTTCTTAATCTCTTCTTCCCATGAGGGTCAAATAGAGAACACTCTTTGAGCAATGAAAATGCAGCAACATATGTGTGATATTTCTGCCCAAGGAAGCGCATTAGAGACTCATCACCCAAGGACTCACCACCCAAGGTTTTTATTGGGGACAGGTTATGTAGGCCCCCTCTGCCTAGGATGCACCAAAATTCCAGACTCCTAGAAGGAAATCAGATGTTAAGCAGAAACCATGTTGTTTACACAACAGTTTATGCACAGTGAGCCATTCTTATAATTTAGGATAGGTTTAGTAACAGCATAAGAAACTGTTTATCAGCCAAGTTCCCAGATGCTAGCCGAAGGCTGATGTTGTAAGCAGACCTTTCTAAGGATAACAGTCTTAGGCCTGGTATGTTCGTTTCCCCATTCCCAACTTTAATCCATTTTCATATGTCTTCAGCCTTGAGTTGTGCTTCTGATCAGAGTTTGTGGCTCTCAGCATGGGCTGAGCATTGCCCAAGGACCCCAAAAAGTGGGTTTTGTCCCAGCCCCACCACTAGCTCCATGTATGACCTTGGGCTAATCACATTCCTTGCTTGGTCCTTAGTGTCCCCATCTCTGAAGGGAATGATGGTAATGCCAGCACTGGGCTTTGTGAATGAAGTAGGGGGTGCTCTATGTCAACAGGTATGCAGCAATGACAACAAGACCTTCGACTCTTCTTGCCACTTCTTTGCTACAAAGTGCACCTTGGAGGGTACCAAGAAGGGCCACAAACTGCATCTGGATTACATTGGTCCTTGCAAATGTGAGTCTCCCACTGGGCCCTTCCAGCCTCCCACTGAGGAGAACACACTCAGCTAGCACTGGTGCTGGTTCCGTGAGTCCTTGAACAAATATTTTCCTTTTTTTTAGCCTCAGGGTTCTTATTTATAAAACAATTAGCTTCCTCTCAGCTTTGAGTTTGCGCCATCTTATGGGAAAGGACTGAGCAGTTGTGGAAGCACAGATCAGGAAGGATTTTGGAGCCTCTAGCTAGCATCTTCAGAGAGCTACATTTCTTTTCTCTAATGATAAGGAAGTTCTATGGGACTAACACAAATCTTTCCTGCTTCAACACTGTAAATCAAAAATGATGTTTTACCTGTGCTTGCAGTGTTTTTAAAATAGGGACATGCCTATCCAGTTTCTTTTAGGCCGTGGTACTCAATGTTGACTTATCTTCAGCCATTTTACCCCTGTATGTTCCTATCTGCCCTCTTAAGACATGATTAACTACCCTAGTCTAGAAATCTAAGAAGCTCTAGTGGTGCTGTGATTAAAGCATTGGGCTATTAACCAAAAGTCTGGCAGCTTGAACCCACCAGTTGCTCTGCTGGAGAAAGTTGAAGCTGTTTGCTTCCATAAAGATTTACAGCCTTGGAAACTTGATGGGGCAGTTCTGCTGTCCTATGGGGTCACTGTGAATTGGATATTGACTCAATAGCAGTGGGTTTTGGTTTGGTTCCAGAAATTTGGGAGTCAGGTATTTGGAGGAAAGAATGCCAGGAAGTTGTCTGGCCTTTTATTAGTGATCTCAGCTGCAAATTCACTGGCCCAGATGCCTTGTTCATTGTTGGCACTGTCCTCATCACCTAAGGCCATGCTCACCCCTACAAGACAAGATCCACATTGGGTGTCTGGTACCTTCTGGCACCAGATTCCATTGGGGAGAGCCACTCACCTGCCTCAGGAGTACAGGGTGCAGAAAAGTGAAGAGGAAAACAAGATTGTCCTTCTGGCCTACTGTACCCTTTCAGTTATGGGGCCCAGGATATGAAATGAGAAATCAAAGGCCTGGAGAAAGAGAGTAGGAAGAAGTGTTAATGGGAAATTCTTGGGGCAGTGAGACTCAGAGGAGAATCCAAGGAATTTTTTCCAAGTGAGTTTTGCTGTCCTTTAGGCATATTGTCTACTCACCCCAACTCCTAGTGTTTCCATAACAAATACTCTTTTCCACTTTGCAGCTAGAGGTCAAGAGTATAGTGATCCAAACCCACAGAGAGGCTTTTCATAGATTCAAGAATAAGGGATGAATAAACTCCTGAACCCCCAGGCAACCACCTGCCTTGGATGCTGGATGAGGCTCTATTATGTGACCTCAAGCAAGACCCTCCTCCACTCTGACCTCAGTGTCCACATCTGTCCAATAAGAGAGGACAACTCAAATGGAATCTCCAACATTGACAATGTGGGATTCTAAGTTCCAAAAACCAGCATGGAAGGAATCAATCTCTAAAAAAAATTCTTCTCCCCACTCAGTTATTAAGTTGGGACTGTGGATACATGTTATTTCTTATCCTCCCAGCGTCAAACACCTCCCAGTGGTTGACATCAGCAACATGGGGCCTCCTGGTCTTTGCTGTGATGACACCTGGGGTCTAGCAGTTGCAGCTGCAGCTGACATGGAGGGAACTATTTCCCCCCAGAGATAAGATAAAGGTCAAGAAAGCAGCAAACGTGCTTTTGTACTTTTCTATTTCAGAATGTTCTTGCACTCACAAGTGCCTTTGTTCATTATGTATACAGAGAAGTGAGGCTGTTTTATCAAGGTCATGGAAAGCAGTGGTTGGAGGAAGAAGGCAGGTGTGAGGAGAGAACTCCAGGCAGCACATGGGCTCTTGGGCAGGGAGGGTCAGGGTCTGTGCTGACCACTCTTGTTTTCAACCTTAGACATCCCCCCCTGCCTGGACTCTGAGCTGACAGAATTCCCCTTGCGCATGCGTGACTGGCTCAAGAATGTTCTGGTCACCCTGTACGAAAGGGATGAGGACAACAACCTTCTGACCGAGAAGCAGAAGCTGCGAGTAAGTGGTCTCTTTCCAGCCTACCCAGGGTGCTAGTCTGGCCTTGAGCTGATTTGCTCTTTGGCTCTGGTATGGCTGGAATCCTCAGTTCCTAAAACTAGACCCCCACTGTAAGCCCATATCCCTGCCCAGAAGCAAGCATTCATCCTGGATGTTGGGACATGTATTTCTGGCTACCCTGGAGGCTTACAAAGCATATAATCTCAATGGCTCTGAGAAGTCTAACTCAGACTTAACTAAAAAGACACAAACCACCCTACTTTTTTTTTTTTTTTTTTTTAATTCTGAGTCAGTGATTTTTAAGCTTTAGTGGACATACCACTGGAGGTTCTGATAAATGCATATTTCTGGACACCACTCAAGGTCTACTGAAGCAGTCTTATAAAGTAAAGCTTGGGAAGCTGCATTTTAGCACACTTACCAAGTGATTTTGATGTAGATAGCTCTAGGGAGAACTTCAATGAGTTGGATTGATGCAATAACCACAACAATGGGTTCAAATATATCAAAGATCATGAAGATGGCACAGGACCAGGCAATGTTTCATTTCGTTATAAATAAAGTCACTATGAATCACAGCCAACTTCATGGCAACTAACAGCAATAACAGTTCTATGGAGGACAACTGTTTTCTTTTTGAGAAATTCTAGGGTACATTCCACCCAAATCATCCTAGGTCTCCATTTCTGTGACTGAGAGGCTGGTACCCATCTTTGCTGCTTCCTTCATGCTCATCTTAACTCTTGTTCTTGGCTGAGCTTTACCTGCTCTGGTCCCCTACCAGAGGTGGGAAGGATCCTCACTGGGTTGGACAGTCTTCTCTGGAACTTTTATCACCTATTGTCTCTGCTCACATAGGTGAAGAAGATCCATGAGAATGAGAAGCGCCTGGAGGCCGGAGACCACCCCGTGGAGCTGCTGGCCCGAGACTTTGAGAAGAACTACAACATGTACATCTTCCCTGTGCACTGGCAGTTTGGCCAGCTGGATCAGCACCCCATTGATGGGTAAGACCCAGGCCTTCAGGGACCACAGGTATCTGCTCTGGCTTGAACCTGGAGTGGACAGAGTCATGGGTCATGTCTGGTTGGTGTACTAGATATGGGCCAGAAACCTTCCAGCAGCCTCTGGTGCTCCCAGTCCTAGATTCTGCAGTTTTTCTAGGCATTGGGGTGGAAAGGAACAAACATCCAGAGAAATGATACAGACTTGTGATAAGAGGGAGTTCTGGTGGCGTAGTGCCTAAAGCATTTGACTGCAAACCAGAAGGCTGGCGGTTCAAACCCACCAGCCATTCCTCAGAAGGAAGATTGGGCAATCTACTTCTGTAGTGATACTGAGGTGGAAACCCAAGGAGGGGTTGCTTTGAGTTGGATCCCGACTAGAATGCAGGGAGTTTGGTTTGTTTTTTTTGTTGTGATAAGACACTCAGTTGTTACGCCAGAAGAGGCAGAAGTCAGACTGAACTGGGGCATGGGTGTCTCTTAGTTGGGGGAGAATGAGTAAGAAAGGAATACCAGACTCTAAGGGTGACAGGGGCTGAAGTACAGGCTGCAGGCCTCCTAGTGGGGCTAGAAGTCTGTGGTGTCAGTGCCCACCCTGAGACCCAGCCCAACTACTGACTAAAAAATTCATGAAGTTAACCCCATCCACACATTGAAAACCTTTGGTCTGAGGACTCTTGAGCCTTGTACAAATGAATTATGAAGTGCTGTGTAACTGTTCTGCCGAATACTCTGCTCTGCAGTTGGTTAGTTTAACAAACATTGAGTATCTATATGGGCCTAGCATTTTATTTTTTAAAATTTTTATTGTGATTTTTGTGAAAGTTTACAGACCAAATTCATTTTCCAGACTGCAGTTAATAAACATTTTGTTTCATGACATTGATGCAATTCCCTACAACGTAACATCTCTCTTCTCACTTCCTCCTTGTAGTTACCTCTTCCCTGTGTCCTTCTCTTCCATGCACTCCTGCCCCCTGAGCTATCCCTCTGTGCAAACACTGCCCATCTGTTCTCCCAGGAGTGTATCTACATGTAAAGGTTCACTCAATATGCCTATTGTTTGGCTGGAAGCCACAGGAGTGAGTTCAGTTCCAGACCTGAAGGGTAACTAGGGGCCATAGTCTCAGGGGTCTCATCAGGCTCTATCAGACCAGCAAACCTGGTGGGCCCAGCATTTAAAAAAAAAAAATTATTTTGGTGAAAATATACATAACAAAACAACAATTTCCACAGGTACAAGTCAGTCACATTGAAGACATTCTTCAAGTTGTACAACCATTCTCGATATCCTTTTCCAAATCATTCTACCACCATTAGCATAATCACAATGCCTCCTAAACAAAACCCCAGCTTTATTTTAAAGGGGATTTAACAGTAATCAGAGCAGACAGAGTCCCTGCCTCCATGGAGGTGACATTCCTCGTGATGACCTGGCTACTGTGATCTCCTTCTCACAATTGAAAGGAAAAAATTTAAAAGGCTCCAGGAAGATGTAGATGGTGGCTTGCTCCATCTGGGGACAGGCAGAGGCCCACCCCGTTACTGCCTTCTGGACTCTCTTACTATGTATTCCTGTGAGGAGCATGGAGAGGAAAGATGGTCCTGTTCTCATGCCTGGAAGTGAGGCTGGGCCCACAAAAGGTCCTCTTTGGGTGCTCACCCCTCACTTTTTGTCCAGCCTGTGTGCCTCGAGCCTGTCCATCCTGACAGTGATCCTGGGTGGCTAGGATCTCCTAAGCTCTGGGAAGCTTCCAGCTGCTTTTCTCCCAGGCTGTGACCATGGCTGGGATCCAATTGAGTCACTCACTGTGGAGTCATGGGGGGAACATCTGGAGATTTGGCTGAGCAACTAGGTCCCACCACAGCAAAGAGGCCTGGGAGGGAGGTTTCCAGATGGACTGCAAAGACTGTGTGCATCTGGGAAAGTGCTCCAGCCTCAGCCTAGGGGATCTATGTTCTTCCTTTTCTAGTCCCAGAGCTGCAGTATGGCCTTTCCTGAGTCCTTGGGCCTGTCTGGGCCTCAGTTTTCCCACTGGTAGAATGAAGTGGGGGGTGTGTTTCCAGCTCAAACAATATGTAGTTCCTCCAGTGAGTTGAGTGAGGCTGAGGGTTTGATGGTTAGAGAAAAAATTGAGGTCACATTTTTCCATACAGAGCTCCCTGAGGAAGACTGTTTTAGAGACAGCTAGTTGAAGGTTCTGGAGAACAAGGAAAAAAATTATATATGTGCTCTGTAGCTCACAGCCCACAGGAGAAAGAGGGGTAGAGTACAACAGGGAGAGAAAATATAAAAGGCTTCCCTCTCAGTTGTTAAATGACTTAAAAAAAAAAAAAATCTCTATGAAGAATAGAGTTCCCTTTGACCCTCACTGCCAATCACAGTCTCTTCCCATGCTCCTCCCTACAAGTCAACCCTACTTTGTGCCTCTCTTATGAGACTCTTTTCTAGGCATTTGCAGCTGTATAAGTACATGTCCATAGAAAACCTAGAGTGTTGCTTCATTCCAGATTTGATCTGCCAGGAGCAGAAGTGCTAAATACCTTAACTTTAAATTTCTCTGCCCCTAACTCAATCAATTAGAAAGCAATTAAATACACAGACCTTTGTTATTGAGCCCATGGGACCTTGAAACTGCAAGGGCTATTAGAAATGAGGGCCAACTCCTCCTCATATTTGGTGGGTGAGGAAACTGAGGCTCAGAGTGGGGCATTGCTGTGCTCTAAGTCACACATCAAGTCAGTGAGGGGCAGAGCTGGAGTAGACCAGGATCCTGGCTTGTCACCCTGCGTTGAGCATCCTTTCTTCTGCCTCCTCCCTGGAAGGTACCTGTCCCACACAGAGCTGGCCCCACTGCGTGCCCCCCTCATCCCAATGGAGCACTGCACCACCCGCTTCTTTGAGACCTGTGACCTGGACAACGACAAGTATATTGCCCTGGACGAGTGGGCCGGCTGCTTCGGCATCAAGGAGCGTGAGTGTCTGACCCAAGGGTCCCAATATCTCCAAGGCCATGGTCAGGGCCTCCCAGCCTTGGTCAGGAGCACTGCTCTCACAGTAAGCTGTCATCTCCCTCCCTCTCTCTGTTCTCTCTGTGTATCTGTCTTGTCTGCCTATCTTTGCTCTCTCTGCCTATTTGCCTCCTATCTGCTCTCCTTGTCTGAGTGGGCCTTACTTTCTCAGGTTGTCTTCCCAATGTTCCTCTGGCCATCTGACTGTCTCTTTCTCTTTCTCTTCCTCAAGCATTAGCACTCACTCTGCGCCAAACACTATTTTGGGAACTGGCAGACACAGAAAAGGAAACAGGAAATGAACTTGGCAGCATAAGAGATGGGAACAGGCCAGAGACAGGGAGACCAAGATTCCTCCATCACCAACTTCCTGTGTGACCTTAGGCTAGTCACCTGGCTTCTAGTCCTGGGGGTGGGTGAGGATCCATAGACTCCCATGAAGGCATGTCTCCCTTGACACAGGACCTCAACCTTAACTCTGCTCCTTTTTCTTGATTTGCAGAGGATATCGACAAGGATCTTGTCATCTAAATCCACACCTGCTTCTGCAGTACCCGGATTCTCTCTTTTTGACCTTCCTCTCCCTGTTTCCCCTAATGTTTAAAATGTTTGGATGGTTTGTGGTTCTGCCTGGGGACAAGGTGCTAATATAGATTTAAATGAATATATTAACGGTGCTAAAAAATGGAAATTATAACTGAAGTCATGGCATTTGTAGTTATAACTCAACTATGAAGGCCTGTTGCTCACCCACTAACGGCCCCATTTTTCTCTTGCTTTTTGTAACATTGTCCATTGTCTTGCTGGCTTGTGGGTGGGAACTTTCATCTGCCTGGGTCTGCCTTAAATACACATTGCTTCTTCTGATTCTTTCTCTGTTTGAAATTAATACTCACCAAATCAGACTTTGTTAATTTTATTTTTGAGTAAAGGGCTGCCTGAGGCATCTTCCCCAGACAGTCTGGAGGTGGGCAAAAGGAAGTAATGGACATATGAGGTTGGCAAGGATGTTTCTGGGACTAGAGGACCAGTGGTGGGAGAATCGCTGCAGAACCCACTAACCAGAACCTCAGAGAGCAAGTCTTACTTGCCTGAGACTGCAGCTGAGAGAAAGAATCTGGGACCAAGTGAAGAAAATATGTAAGCTCTCACATAAACGGAGTTCCTCACCATTTCCCCCCCTTACCTTAAAATGCAGTTTCTTTTCACATTAGGCTGTTTGTTCAGCTTTTAGGAGTCATGGACCATTTGCAAAACCCATGGGAGTGCACCACCACCTCCTACAAGGCTTCTCTTAATTCTCTTGGGGGAAATGTAGGCTTCCTCTGAGGTTTCTGGGGACTGAGAGGCTGTTTCAGCCAGCAAGGCCAAAATCAAGAGTGAGACACAGAATGTTGTAAAATAGAAGTGGAGCTGGTGATTTTTTTTTCTTCCACATTTGGGTGGCTATCATGAAGGATTTTCCTTTGATTTCTAGCATGTTCCTCTTTTTTCCTCCCCTTTTCCTTCTATTAATCAAGAGAAACCTTTAAAGTCAATGGGATGGTCGGATCTCACAGGCTGAGAACTCGTTCACCTCCAAGCATTTCATGAAAAAGCTGCTTCTTATTAATCGTGCAAACTCTCACCATGATGTGATGAGTTTGACAAATCTTTCAAAATAAAAAGTAATGACTTAGAAACTGCCTTCCTGAGTGATTTTGCCTGTTATTTCAATATCCTAACACACAGACACACGTGCGTACATGTTCACACCAGACTATTCCCATGCAAACCTTTGCAGACACCTTATTGCATTATCACAGCTATGGGAATGGCACAAGGCCAGGCAATAGTTTGTGCTGTTGTGCATGGTTCACCATGAGTTGGGGACCAACATGACAACAGCTAACAACATACAACTGTATACACATATATGTATATATATACAAGGACATGTATGGTTCCTCTAAGCACTAATTTAGCTCAGTAATTTAATTGTATGACCTGAGGTCTGACTCTTCCATTAGTGTACTTCACTATCACAAGTACCAAGCTAAGCAACCGTCTCCTTTCATTCATCACATATTTGTTCATTCATTTATTCAACAATTTTTGCTTGTTTTAGAACATTTTATTGTGGTTTTGGTGAAAGTTTATAGAGCAAATTAATTTCCCAATTAGCAATTTATATACATTTTGTTTCTGGACATTAGTTGCAATCTTCTCAATGTAACAGCACTCTTTCTGCTTCTTCCCTGCATTCCCCGTTTCCATTTGCCCATCTTTCCTTCCTCTTCCTGCCTTCTGAACTTGGTTTTGGGGCAAATCCTGCCCTTTTGGTCTCGTATGGTTCACTGTTCTGAGGAGCATGTTCCTCACGGGTGTTACTGCTCACTTTATAGGCCTGTCTGTTATTTGACTGGAAGGTGATCACCAGGAGTGTGTTCAGTTCTGTGTCTGAAAGGTGTCTAAGGGCCATAGACTCAGGATCTACAAATACTTTTGATGAATTTATACAAAGGAGCTCTGGTGGCATAGTGGATAAGGCATTTGGTTGCTAACCAGAAGGTTAGTGGTTCAAATCCACCAGCCACTCCATGGAAGGAAGATGGGGTGATCTTCCGTAAAGATTTACAGCCTTGGAAACCCAATGGGGATTGCTATGGGTTGGAGTTGACTTGATGGCAAGTGAGTTTGGTTTGGTATTTGGTACTCTATACTAGATCTGTATCACTCACTGGGGGACACAGTGAGCAAAACAGATAAAAAAAAATTATTTATTTGAGTTTATAGTTTAGATAAAGATACATTAAGTATCATGAAATAATCTTATAATTCTGAGAGGTGCTGAGTTAGTGAGGGCAGTAGCTGCCCACTGCGTGAAAACTCAGAACTACAGCCCAAGGAAGTGAAACAAAAGCAAGGCAGAGGAAGACAGGAGACTTCCTTCAGTTATCTCTTCACCGTGAAGTGAGGAAAACCTAAAGGAGATATTTCTGGGAGCTCAAGCCAAGGAAAAGCCTGTGAGAACCAGTGCAAAACAGCACGGCAGGGGCAGGGATGAGGAATGGCCGCTCTATTTGACTCAGTCTTGAGTAGGCTGAGAACAAGCTTGGATGAGAAACTGTAAAAATGTATTGAATGTGAAAAGTTTCTGTCAGAGTTTAGCTCTTTTTCAACTTTGGAAAATCCACACTGGAAAGAAATCCCATAAATGTGCTGATTGTGGGAAAAGTTTCTTTCAGAGTTCTAATCTCATTCAGCATCGGTGGATCCATACAGGGGAAAAGCCCTATTAATGTGATGAGTATGGAGAAAGGTTTAAACAGAGCTCTTATCTCAGGCAGCACATGAAGGTGCACAAAGAAGAGAAGTCTCGTAAAACTCGGAGCAAAAATATCAGGGTAAAAATTCAGTATTGTCGTGAAAAGCTGCCACTGAAAGGAATTCGATGGCTCGTCTCTGCTAAGTAAAGGGCACTGCTTTAACCCTCTTTTAAGAAAATGGTATCTCTGAGAACAGAAGGCCTTTGTAGTAGATCGGTTAATCCTAGACCCTTTGCTAGCATTGAGTTAGTGTTTAAGGACATTACTGGGCTGAGAACAACTACATGAGTCCAGCTGTTCTCATTTTCTTTTTTTTATATGGCTTGGAGCACAGAGAACTGCAAATAGATTTTGAGAGATTTCAAGATCCCTTGACCTCATTTGAAATTGCTTCCTACATCATTTTGACAAAAAGCCATCATATTTTGATGGCACATGTGAAAGTACAGGGATATATCGGTGATTACTCAGTTTCAGGACTTTCTGTGGAAGGAGTGATCGAATAAACCAAAACCAAAAACCAAACTCATTGCCATTCTGACTCATAGTAGCCCACATGGGATTTCCAAGGTTGTAAATTTTTACAAAGCAGACTGTCCTATCTTCACAGAGTAGCTGGTGGGTTTGAATGGCCCACCTTTTGGTTAGAGCTGAATGCCTTAGCCACTGCACCACCAGAGCTCTTTGATTGATTAAAAGGGGGAGAAAATTAAGTTTTTGGAGTTCAGCACATGAGGAATTTTTTTGCTGTTTGTAAAGTTTTGGAGTGTATTTTCAGATGGTTTATAATATGAATTGGAGATTCAACGTATTAAAATGCATTCACAGATTTTTAATCAGCAAGGCCCATCACTCTTCATTAACTTTTGTTTGTTTTGGATAATTATCAAAGGAGTAGAATTTCCCTATTTTTCACCAAATCCTTAGTAAAAGATATGATAGAAGCCAAAATAAGAACTGAATTAGACCACACATCTTCCATAATTGCTAATACTATTCTTTGTGATGGTATTACTGCTCTGTCACTTGTTTTCCACAGTTGTGAGGGATCGATGTTGATCCATCCCTGTGCCCTTGAACTTTTGGCATTATATTGTGCTCTAGCAAATGGAGCCAACCTTTTAGATTTACATGGATAAATTGTTGTTGTTATGTGCCATCAAGTAGGCCCCGATTCATAGTGACACCTCCTTGGGTTGCTGAGGCAGTATCACTATGAAAGTGATTGCCCAACCTTCCTTCCAAGAAGTGGCTGGTGGGTTTGAACCACCAGCCTTCTGGTTAGCAGTCAAGTACCTTAGGCACTATGCTACCAGAGCTCCTACATGGATAAATAGTTACACTCTATTTTACCAACGGAGCTCTGGTGGCGTAGTGCCTAAGGCATTTTGACTGCTATCCAGAAGGCTGGCAGTTCAAACCCACCAGCCACTCCTCGGAAGGAAGATTGGGCAATCTATTTCTGTAGTGATGCCGACTCGGGAACTCAAGAAGAGGTTGTTATGAGTCAGATTTGACTCAACAGCAGTGAGGTTTCTTTAATTTTTTTTTAATTTTATCAACATCAGCTCAGCTTTTTGCTAATTAAAAATCTACAAATTACATGTCTCCCTGCCTTTCCCTTTGAGATGTTTTAGATAACACTGGTTATCTTAAGGAAATGTTTGTCAAATGCAAAAGCCATTTAATTCAAGTGCCAGTAGATTGTAGCAGCTTTGAAATCTAAGTTAATGTTTTCTGCATTGCATGAATAGTTGAAGAACATTAGTAAATCTGTTTCTTAATTTCCATCCGAACAGGGCCAGGTGTCAGTCTGATCAACATTCAGCTGAGGTTTTAATTTCTACTGAATGCTAAAATTCTTCTGATTTTTTTTGTATCTTATATCAAGGAGCTCTCGTGGTATAGTGGTAAGGCACCTGACTCCTCATCAAAAGGTGTTTTGAACCCACCAGCTGCTCTGCAGAAAAAAGATGAGTCAGTTTGCTTCCGTAAAAATTTACAGCTTTGGAAACCCAATGGGTATCGCTATATGAGTCAGAATCTAATCGATGGCAGTGAGTTTGGGTTTTTTGGTTATAATCATATCAATTTCTGCTGTATTAATGACAATTATCCATAAAAACAAAAAACTAAATAATTTGCATTAAAAAAATTGTACAACTCAATGTAAATTACATTGTGAAATGTGGAATGAAAGAACAAAAGAGGACAGCATGCGTG